TTCTTGCCCGCGCCTGCTTTTGCATTAATAGTTAGAAATCTAGGGTTTAGGGTTTAGGGTTTTGGGGCCTCAATAGTTAGACTAGGGTTTTGGGGCCCATTATAGTATAGTTATAATAGGGAAGCCCCAAAACAGTTTTGGCAAGTAGTCAGGCTCCTACATTAGGGTTCCTTTAAGGGCCTACTATGAGTGCCTGACTTGTCTCTGAAACCAGGAGCTTGAGAACTGGGCACAGTCGCTTAAGGTTTTAAGGTTTAGGGGTTTTGAGGTTTAAACCTTTAGGGTTTTCGGCATTTTGATCCACATGTGTGAGGAGATCCATCTGCAACTGTCGAGTGGAAAAGCCTTCGCAGCATGTCTTTTCCACGTAATCCAGCGGCCTCAAAGCAAGAGTGTAGGACTTCGGGGGTATGTGGTATAAGTATATGTACACCTCCCCTCGCCAAAAGGGAACCAAAGCATCCCAACCCAAGATTGTTTAATTTGGTAAAACTCGGCTGTTCGCTCTAGAACCCCGGGCTCCGAGGAACGTAGCAGGCTCAGAGTTTGCAGGGGGTTTAGGGTTGAGGGCTTAGGGTTTAGGGTTTAGGGTTTAGGGTTTAGGGCTTTGGGTTTAGGGTTTAAGGTTTAGGGTTTAGGGTTTAGGGTTTAGGGTTAGGGTTGAGGGCTTAAGGTTTAGGGTTTAAGGTTTAGGGGCTAACGGTGTGCAGGGTTGAAGGCTTACAAGCCCACAACCCTTTTCAATTAACAGTTTCTGACAGCTACAGGGCCTTCTTGAAATATCTGTTGGAATCACGGGTAAACTCTAAAGACAAGCTCAAACCCCAAATTCTGCACCAAGTGTGCCTGTCAGGAACCCCGAAAAAGGAAATGTTCTAGGGTTTAGGATTTTGGGGTGTAGGGTTTAGGGTTTAGGGCAGAGTGAGCCTGAAACAGCCAAAGCTCAATGCAGCAAGGATGCAATTGCACCTGGGAGTGGGCCGGCGGCTGGGACAATTGTGGCTCGCCTTAGCCACAGGATCCATTTGGGTAATTTAGGTCCCCAAAATAGTACGGCACCCTTCTACATAGGACCCTAAAAGGGACACCAACGTAGAGAACTACCCATTTACTCAACCTCAAGCCCTAAGCTCTACATCCTAAACCCCAACAGCTGCAAGCGTGTCTACGCGCTGGGTTCGTCAGTTGCTTGCTGGGGCTTACGGTCTCTACTTGGAGGTTCATCGGTAGTTTAGGGTTTAGGGTTTATATAGGGTTTAGGATTAGGATTTAGGGAGTTTAGGGTTTAGGCTTCTAAGTAGGGTTATAAGTCCCCGTACTATGGCTTATTTCTACACCCTACTTATAACTCAATTTTTAACTACCCATGAACCTCCAAGTAGGGTGTCGACTCTCAGAGTGAATTTAGGATTTCGGGCTTTTGGCTTTGAGGATTTAGTTGGAACGGTTATAGGAATGAGCAAGGGCCCCATTTTCCACACCCCAATACGAGCCCTCATCCTCATGGAATCCTTCAAGGAACCTATCCTAAACTCTAAATCCTAAACCCCTAAACCCTCTTACCCTAAACCCTAAATCCTAAACCCCTAAACCCTAAACCCTTTTTATATTACTTACAAGGGCTTTGGGTTAAGGAATCTGGGCTGAAGCTGCACTGCTCCCTGGCTGCAACCCCATATGAGGCCCCAATCTAGGATCTTCAGTGGAATGCGCTTTCGCTTTTTCGGATTCTTGCTCCCTATCATACAAAAAAAGGTACAAATAGCAGATGTCAGATATCCCAACAAATGTATATGGGTAGTTCTCTAAATTAGGGTCCGGTTCTAGGTCCCCAAAGACAGTAAGCCACCCTAACGTCCGGTTCCTGGTCTCCAAAGACAGTAAGCCACCCTTACCCTCTAAATGGGACCCTAAACCCTCAACCCTAAACCCTAAACCCTAAACCCTAAACCCTAAACCGAACTGTGGAGAAGTACCCATACACTGTTTCCCCGTGGGTTATTGAAAGGCCAAGCCCCACGTCAGACCCCAAATATCAGCAGAAATATCAGCAGAAGGATCTACGGTTGCCGTCTTAAGGTACCCCTAAGGTTTAGGGGAGGGCCCCAAAAAAGCACATAAGCAAAAATTAGGATCGGGATATCCCATATAAATCCCCTTATCATGAAGCCCAATAAGGTAGGGATATCCCTATCAAATCCTTATGCTTATGTCCTTTTTGGGGTTCCTTAGGGGAGGACTTGAGGTTAGGGTTTAGGACCCTAAACCCTAAACCCTAAACCCTAAGTTTAGGGTGTAGGATTTGGAGCTGAGGCCCTGGCTGTCGAGTTCAGGTTAGTGCGTTTAGGGTTTAGGGTTTAGGATTTAGGGGTTTAGGGCGGTTTAGGGTTCAGGGTTTAGGTTTAGGGTTTAGGGTTTAGGGTTCAGGGTTTAGGGTTTAGGTTTAGGGTTTAGGGTGCCCTAAACCTCAAGCCCGAAAGCCCTGAACGACTCAATAACCGGGTCCCCCACCTTACACCCTAAACCCTAGATCCCAAACCCTGAACCCTAAACCCTGACTAAACCCTAGATCTCAAGCCCTGAACCCTAAATCCTGACTAAACCCTAGATCTCAAGCCCTGAACCCTAAATCCTAAACCCTAGATCTCAAGCCCTGAACCCTAAACCCTGAACCCGAAACCCTAAACCACCCACCCACAGGCAATGTTCATAACGCCACCGGGCCAAGATGCCCTTGGTGCGTCGGGAACCTCAGATTTTGTCTTTTGGGTTTTAGGTCGCAAAGTTGATGGGTTTAGGGTTTGGGGGTTTAGGGTTTGGGGGTTTGGGGTTTGGGTTTAGGGTTTTGGGTTTTTAGTGTTTAGGGTTTAGGGGTTTAGGGTTTGGTGGTTTAGGTTTCAGGGCATAGTCGAGGGTTTCCAGTTTTGCCATTTTCCGGGCTTGGGTTTCGGGTTTAGGGTTTAGGGTGTAAAATGTTTGCTCAGAGGGAATCAGATGTTAGATTCTCTTGTTTGCAGACGTTCCTCGCAAATTCGTTCTACTCCGTCGCTGTATGTGCCACAAGCATGGAAAGCTTCGGCTTGTTGGGCAGTGATTGAAGTCGGTCGTAAAGTGAAACTTTTGTCGGCACAAGGTCACAAGCAAGATCCACATTGGACAACCACGCCTAGACATGGACAGCGACGTCTCAAATGCGAGAGCTGTGTTTTTTGGCTCGTCTAACACAGAGGCAACAGTATCGCCGCAAGTGCGTGCTTGATTGTACTGCAGTTTACCCCAAACAAATGTTCTGATGATTCACCCTAGCCCCATGCAAGTCCCCTTAAACCCCGCTATCTGCAAAACCTAAACGCCTCAACACCCAAAGCTCTGCCCCCTACCTAGACCCATGACTGTTACCTGGTTTGGTCACCGATGAGCTTGGGTTTGGGGCTAAGGGTTGCTATACAATGTGTTTCCCCATCATGGTGCCGTAAACCCTAAGCTCTAAACGCTAAAGTCTATATGTGAAAGATCAGGTGAGGGTGAACGGCTCAACTCCGGCAACCCTTGCGGGCTTTGAAGCTTAACACCCGCTTCGGTTTGCGGGCTCGCCGTGTTTTTTCTTCTTAGGGTGCCTGTAAAAGCCTAAACTTGAGAAACTACGCCGTGTAGGTTTATGGGCCTTTAGCTGAAACCTGCAGGCTCTTAGTCCGAAGCCCTAGCCGAAGCTTAATATGATACTTAGGCACATTTTCAGGTGATGTTGTGGCGATTCTCCCCCTAGTCCTCGGCCACCCTAAACCCTAAACCCTAAGCCGCATTTACCAAGGTAGCTCGCGCGAACATCTCCTGGACGACGGTTCCTGTGCTGCAAGAACTCGACCAGGGTTTTGGAGTATATGATACTATTAGTTCAAGCATCTTTCTATAGGGACTCCATGGGGTGCAGAGTATTCAGACGTCGATACCAGTTGTGGATCCAGACACGCATGATTTTTGGCCTTGTGCAGCTATACTCTGCGGAGTTCCTGTGTTATAGCTTGCCATGTTGCAGGGTTTGTGGCTGCAGGTTTTGCGGGGTGGTCCGTGCTTTACATAGAGTATGGCAGCAAGCATCGTGGATAGCAGATGTTCCAAACACAAACTCCTAGGTTTAGATGCTAAACCCTAAACCCGAAACCCTAAACTCGAAACACAAAACCTACACCCTAAACCCCTAGATCCTAAGCCCTAAACCCTAAACCAGACCCGTAAGCCGGCTCTAAACACCAAGCCCTAGTTCTCAAACACTGCAACCCGAAGCCGAACTCCCGAACACTATTCCTAAACCCCGCATCCTTAAATCCTGCACACTAAACCCTTATAAAGTGGGGGCCTTAGTCATTCGAATAGGGTTTTGGGGGGGTTCCTTATTATGATTCTAGTAGAACATAACCCAAGCCCTATTAATATTATTAAGGCCCTTAGATTACCTTAAACTTGAAACCTGCTTCCTTCTCTTTGGGCGTAGCAAGGGCTCGTCTTGGATCCCTTTGTCAGGTTAAGAAGCAAACCCCAAACCAAAAGCACCCTCTCAGGCGACCCAAATTAAGAAGTACTACTCTTGCTCAAGCCGCAAGCCCACAGTTTCTCCTTCACCGTAATGGGTTTATGGTTTAGGGTTTAGTAGCCTTACAAATTATCCAACGACAGAGCCGTCAAAGATTGAGCCCTAAACCTTCAACTGAGTCTAGGAGCAAAGCTCTCATGCCTAAACCGCCTAAACTGTACCTTGAACCAGACCGGCCAATACCCCGTAACTAATAAGGGAGAGAGCGAGAGAGAGAGAGAGAGAGAGATATATATATATATATATATATGGGTGGTTGTCAAAATGATGGTCCCTTTTTGGGTCCTTGTTATAATACGGCACAAGCTATATTCCTCAATTAGGGGGTGCTTGGCTCTCTATGGAGCTTGTGTCATCTTCGGATCTCTGGCAGTCAAACGGCACAGCCATGGATCTAGCTCGCGTGTTCGGGGGTTTGGGGGTTTAGGGTTTAGGGTTTTTAGTGTTTAGGGTTCAGGTGTTCAGGGTTTGGGGGTTTGGTGGTTTAGGGTTTAGGGTATAGTCGAGGGGTTCGTCGAGGGGTTCAACCGCCTCCAAGTTGGCCTAAGCCTTACCCATAGGCTCCAAAGTAGTTCCTTTTTGGGATTACCTTATAGGATTCTAAGTATGAACCCCAAAAAGGAACTACTATGGGGAATATGGGTAAACACCAAAACCCTGACCTTTTAAATTCATCAAACCCTAAACCCTAAACCCT